AATATCAAACATCTTAGACATAACATGGAACAGGTATTTTTCATCAAGTATTGATATGTTGAACTTTAAGTCCCTACAGAATATGATGAAAAAACATTTGAAAAATTAAAATATATTTTAAAAATAGGCATAAAAGAATTGTATAATTCTTATGTTTACACATAAGTCCAGAAATTTAACCATATACAACCTGTAGCAGGACAGTCCCACAACATTCCGTTTCCTGTCTCCTTCCATCATTCACCACCCCCTTCTTTTTGAATAATCATGTACCTGAGAGACAGCACAGCAGCAACTGGCATGTCATGACAAGAAGCCCATATTCAGAAGACCAGAATGACAGACACTCCAAGCAGGAACCTACTATTACAAATTGCCATCTTCAGTGTAGCTGCTTAGTTTACAGATGTCAGTATATATAGTTAGTCAGGGTGAGAATCTTTCCAATTAACTGCTAGATTCAAAAATCTTCTGAAGATTCTCAGGATCATTGCCTTGCCCATCTTCTACATATAACTGTATGGCTTGCCACAGTCATGTTTCCTAACTCTTCTCCTTTCCTGCTCTTAACTATTTAGTCCTTAAGTTCTTGCTTTCCTTTTAGTTGTATTATACATTTCTATTTGTATTTCTTCCTTTGAGTTCTTATACTAGGGAAACTATGCTATATTTGCACATGTGTGTCTGGTTTATTTCACTTATGAGTATATGTTCAAGTGGCATCCACTCTTTCTTTCTTTCTTTCTTTCTTTCTTTCTTTCTTTCTTTCTTTCTTTCTTTCTCTTATGTATTTAGTACAGGGTCTACATGGTCTCACTACATAGATTGGACTAGTAGTGATTCTTCTGCTTTGAGGCTCCCAAGCCCTGGGATTACAGGTGTGCACCTCCACGACCAGCCTCGTTCCCCCTCTCAGCGCGCCCCAGGGACAGGGCCAGCACAGAACACAGGGGATTGAACCCCGGCTGCTGTGCTCTGCCTAAGCATGCACTTTAGTCCGCTGAGCTATCAGGCTGGCCCTCGCACTCTCCTTTCTTTCCACTGCATTTTATGCTGCCTTTCCATGGAACCGCACATGGCCCATTCTATTGGCAATTATTTGTCTCTTTAGACTGTTGACTTCTTGAGGACAGGGTGCTAGCAGAACATCCATAGTTTTGTTCATTCAAAAAATATTCATTGGAACTGGGCATGATGGTGTCCACTTGTAATTCCAACTATTCAGGAGGCTGAGGCAGGAGGATAAGTTCAGAGCCAGCCCAAACAACTTAGTGAGACCCTGTTTCCAATTCAAAAAGAAAAAATAAAAGAAAAAAAACAAAGTAAAAAGATCTGGGGATGTAGCTCAGTGGTAGAGTGCTTGTGTTGTATGTGCCAGGATTTCAGTTCAATTCTCAGCACTGAAGGAAAAAAAAATTAATTGAGCACCTACTATGACCCACATTCTGGGCCCAGTAAATGAGGAATTACCTCTATCTGTGCCTTTAAGGGACTCGTGGTTTATATGAAACACACAGAAGCTCCAACCATACCCACACGTATGTTTTCCCCTCACAACATGCTCAGGGATGCATACGTGCATGGCTGTAATCAGAGCAGCTCACAACACAAGCAGGCACATCTCATGTAGATCTCTTAGGAAGAGAACAGTATTTTCCCTCTAACAGGTCTGGTTCTCAGTGTCTACTCCTATGAATCTCCACTATTACCATCTTTTTCTTTGGTACCGGCAGGAATCGATCTCAAGACCTTGAGCTTGGCAGGCAGGCACTTGTGCCACTGAGCTATATCCGCAGCCCACACTATAACTATCTTGACCCACATTTGAAAAGAGTTTGTATAGAATGCAAATCCTCTCACCAATATTGCTGATATTTGCAAAAGAAATGATAAGCCATTAGCGATATTCCTATCAGCACCTACGATCATTCCCTGCCCTTGTGGGTTAGGAGTCTTCCCTAGGTCTTCAGGGAATAAAGAACTTCAAATCCCTTTGGCTGTGTACTACGAGCTGCTTGGGGCCTTATGTTCTACATTAAGTAGCTGATGGCTATTTGCAAAGTGGTTCCTAGGGACACCTCAGAGAGGCAGTCGGTGGAAAGTGGACTGGCACAGCTTTGCTGTTGGGCACAGCAGTGGCTCCTTCCCTGTGGAGGAGTTAACTGAACAGAGAGGCCTCCAGGACCAGGACACTGCAAACTGCGGCTGTGATGGAGAAAGCAGGTCCAGGCCGGGTACACTCGTGTGCGTGTGCACCCGTGGGCACACCCTTCGGTGCATACAGGCAGGAGATTCAGAAGGATTTTTTTTTTTTTTTTTTTTTTTTTTTTTTGCAGGGGGCTGGCTCAGGATGCCTTAAGGGCAGCTCTGGTAAGGCAAGAGGATCTGGGGATCAAACCACAGTATCCTGAGCCTGACTGCCTCTGCTTAAGCACCACTTAAACAACTGAGTTAATAGGCAGGCCCCCAGACAGGAGATTCTGAATGCGCCTCCAAACACTGGCCGGAGGCCAAGCCAGGCTCGCCTGTATGTGCATTTTGGGTGGTCATGCGTCCTGTACAGCATGGCACAGCAGATACAAATACAAACACATGAAAACTGTTGGTACTTTCAGTTAAATTGGATGGTATCTTTTTTTTTTTTTAATAGTTAAGACTCATTTCTTATAGTCTTTGTTGATTCCTTCTTCTGGGCTCCATTTACAAAGAAAAGGCAAAGGAAAGTAGTAGAAACCCCTTTTACTAGTCTCCTGGGAGCTGCTCAGGAGAACGTTCTACTCAAATACAGTCAATTCCGAGGAACGCGCCATGGGGTTTTGTCATTATGTGAAAGTCACAGAGGGCAGAGGGTGCTCACACAACCTAGAGAGTGCAGCTGCCACACGCCTAGTCTGTATGCTACACTCTGTTTCTCCTAGACTATAAATGGTACCGCGTGGTACAGTGCTGAATACTGTAGACAACTGGAACGCAGTAGTATGTGGGCACCCAGACACATCTAAGCAGAAAAGGTACAGCAAAAATGCTTAGTCATAGGCATTTTTCATCTCTTCTATAGTCTCATGGAACCACTGTTGCATATTTGGCCACTTGTTGGCCGAAACACTGTTACTGGTACATGGACGTGCCAGAATTTGGGGTTGATTTCATAACAAAGAAAGAAAGCGTATCTTACCTTCCTGCCCCCAAGCGCCAACTGGGAAAAAAAAAAAAAAAGAGTTAGTAAAGGTGATTGCCTGCAATTCCAAGCAGAAAAAGGACTGTGGTCCATTCTGACCAGCAATGAAAATCTAAAGTCCCTCCCAACCACTGCTGGGTTAGTTCTGCAATTTAGAACAGTGACATTTGCTATTGGGTGGGAGGAGGGCGAGCAAGGGAAATAAGCACTGGACGTGAAAACACGTGTTTGACCACCAGAAGTTAGAAGAAAACGGCGAGGCTGCTTTTTTTTGAAACTGGTTCTCATTATGCATTCAAGGGCTGGCCTTGTGCTCATTTTTGTAGCCCCTAGGCTGGTCTCGAACTCTCAGAGATTCCTCTATCTCAACCTGAGGCTGCTTCTTGGAAGATGAAAAAAAAAATAGTAAAAGAATTTTGCAATCAAGTTTCCATTTTAAAAATTGGTCTGTGGAGGAAAAACAAGCTCTTGGCTGTGTCCAAATGTTGTTTCCAGTTCTGTCTCTGGTCCTGCTAGTTTAATAGGGTACTTTTTCCATTTGTTTTTTGCTTGAGACAGAGACAGAAATACTTGAAACTGATTACTTGTCAACTAGAGCCTATGTGTTAAAGAAACTGATTATATTTCTTCGGGGCCCTCTGGAGTCCCCTCAGGAATGACTTGGAGTTGGCACCGTGGCCAGCTTCCTTGGCCCTGCCTGAGAATTTGCTGTTTACCAGCAACCTTGACAGTGGGTGAGACAATCCCCCGTCCCAGAGCAAACCGGGCACTTTCTCATGATGCCAAATTTCTAGAGATGCTTGGCTCTGTGATGCGCCTTCTTTTCTTCTTTCCTTTCCTCTGTACTTTGCATTGCGTCCCCTTCCTTTTCCTTAGTAGGCACACACTTGATACCATTGGTCTCTAAGAAAATGTCTCACTAATCCCTGTAGGAGCCGCTTTCCACCTCATGAGACTCAAGGTGTATTCCTGCCTAGTCACAGATTAAGGTGCTCGGGAGCTTGTTAGAATGTGGAATCTCAGTCCTGACACAGAGCTGCATGTCAACAGGGCTCCTGGGTGACTGATTGGTGTCTACAGGAAAGCCCAATAAACCCGAGTGGAAATAGATCTGTAATGGCTGAGCTCTGAGCCAGGCGCCCCAGTTGTGGTGGTATTTTCTAGCTCTTTGAAATAAAATCATCATGAGTCTTTTTGCTTTGTACAAGGCAGAGATTCTGAGCAACACTAATCATCCAGATTTGCTCTAGCACTACTCATATTATTTCAAATGGGTTAACTTCTTCATTCATTTTTTTTAAAGTGTAAAATAGGAGAGATAACACTTTTCTTATAAGGAGGGGGTAAGGATTAGATAGGTTAACACGAGTAAAGAATTTTTTATACAATATAAGCACTCAATAAATGGCATTTTGTAAAACATTATTTATCTCATATGAGCTATGCAAGTGCTCTTGATTATTCGTCAATTTTTATCCTACCTTGCTTCAAAAAGGACTAAGTTATTTAAAAGTTCTTGGTCACCTGAAAAGGACTGAAGACAATAAAGTGTTTATATCAAAGATGCTAAATTTGCTAACTCGGCAAGTTGTCAACTACTTAGTCTCCTCCAAATAAAGAGTGGAGTGGAGTTTAGCTCTTCTGGTCTCTTTCGCGTTAGTTCCTAAGGGCTGGGTAAGTTTGCCCACTGGTAGGTTCATTCTTGGCAGCAGAGATGCCTCTTTCCTCTCCATGGATGTGGTCACCCCAACCCCTTTCTTCTAGCTGCTCCTGAACAGTCTCCCATGCACCGGGGCACATTTCCTTTGTTTGCCTCCATCTCCAACCCCTGCTCTAAGGGTAGCACAAACGCTTCCTCACATCTGGTAAGTGAGACTCTTTTGCTGGGCTGCATCTGGTAAGACCCTGGTCCTTCCAGTGTCAGAGAAGAACCCTCTTTTATTCCATCCCACTCACCTGATAGCAGGCAGAGTGCCAGGACTCTCCACGGGGTGCTTGACTGCATTTTTCTTTCACTGGATGGTTGTTCTAAGATGGCGGAGATGATAGTCTCAGTTTATTACTTCTGAAAAGGAAACCAGGACATTTTCAGAAAAGGACATTTTCGAAACGTGCTGGATACAAGTCTTTGGGGTCTTCGTTTTCAGTGTGAAAAAGGGAGGCCCTATCAGAGGAGACTCACCATTTTCTGAAGTAGACACCTGAGGCTGGGAGAGGAGGCGGGTTTCTGTGCCCCACACAGGAAGTGTTGAGGGGCCTCTAGGCCTGCGGGTTCTACGTCATTTGGCAACGTTCAAGGCAGAGGAAAGCTGGGCCCCACAGACTTCACATAGGGATAAGCAGGAGGATTCCGGCAAAGCCTGAAGGTGCTAGGATGAGTACCTGCCACTTAATTGTCTGGGCCATGCACTGTGTCCCCAGCCCCTGCTTTCTCAGATGCCCCCTTCTGCCCCATACGCTGCGACAGGAAGAGACAGGGACATTGACTCTTTGCTGTCCTCGAGGTGTATGGCACACAGCAGCAGGATGGAGCCGTCTCATTGGCAAGATCTCTTGGCTTGAAAATGTGCTTGTTTGAAATCATGAGAGGCATTTCCCCCCTATAATCTTTGCAAAAATACTTACAAACACAATACTCAGTATTAGGCAGGGTGAAGGGTGACAGCGTCAAATCTGCTTGTCTAAGGGTTAGCTAACATAGCTGTACTTTTTCTTCTTTTTGTCATTTGGGGACAGGGTTTCACATGCAATTCAGATTGGCGGTGAACTCACTTTGTAGCCCAGGCTGGCCTTGAACTTGCAGTGATCCTCCTGTCTCAGCCTTTTAAGTGTTGGGATTATAGGTGTGTGCTGCCACATTTGGCTATTTTCCTTATTTATTTATTTTTTTATTTTGGCAGAACTGGGGATTGAATTTAGGACCTTGCACTTGTCAGGCAAGCACTTATTCTGCTGAGTCATCTCCCTGGCCCCAAAATAGCCTCCTGTGTTTTCCTTATTTTTAAGCATGCAATAATAAAAAGCTTACTATGTCCTGGAATTATATTAAGGGTTTTACTGACATCTTATTTAATCCTCAAAATAATACTCCAAGCTAGGTATTATTTTTATCCCCATTTTATGCTGAGCAAGCCCAAGCTCAGACAGTTTATAGCTTGTTGCAGACCCCAGAGCAGGGACTCTAAAAGACATTTTGGCATAACTAACTTGTTTGGAAATATTTAATGTCTACTCTACTCGGCTCTAGTTTTATGTTATCTGCTACTATTACATCAGTAACAGGATAGGTACACTTCATGGACAAAGAGAGGAAAGGTGGACACAAAACAGCCTGGAAGTGGCAGAAGGGAGCCCAAAGGTCAGGCACGATGGCGCACATCTTGTCCCAGCTCTCAAGAGGCTGAGGCAGGAGGATCACCACTAGTTCAGGCCAACCTGGTTTTACATAGTGAGTTTGAGGCAAGACCCTGTCTCAAAAAATAACAAACAAACTCAAAAAACCAAACAGAAGGGGGCCCGAAACAGTCTGGGGGTAGAGAAAGTCTCTCTGAGCTGTGACGCCCAAGCTGACCTGTTGGGTGAGCAGGGCGAGCCACGTAGAGAGGATGGCGAAGGATTCAGAGGGAGCAGCACGTTGGGAGCCAGAGCTGAGAGAGCAAAGGCAGGTCCAGCACTTCAGGCAGCAGAGAGCAGAGAAAGAATGGCAAGAGGTGAGACCAGCAACTCTTGGGAGTGGAGGGAGGGGCCACCAGCCCTGTTATGGATGTTTATGGGCTTTTGAGGGTATGGGGAACTTTGGAAGGGTTTTAGATGGGAGTGACATCATCCCACTCTTTCTTTCTTTCTTTCTTTCTTTCTTTCTTTCTTTCTTTCTTTCTTTCTTTCTTTCTTTCTTTCTTCCTTCCTTCCTTCCTTCCTTCCTTCCTTCCTTCCTTTCTTTCTTTCTTTCTTTCTTTCTTTCTTTCTTTCTTTCTTCATTCCTTTCTCTCAATGTATTTATTTTTATTTATTTTTTTAAAATGTATTTAGTATAGGGTCTACAGGGTCTCACTACACAGATCAGACTCATGCGATCCTCCTGTTTTCAGCCTCCCAAGTGCTAGGATTACAGGCGCACACCACCATGCCCATTCTCAGTCGCCCCTCTCAGTGTGCCCTGGGGGTGGGGCTGGCAAGGCACTCCAGGGATCAAACCCTAGTCCCTGAGTCTGCCTAAGCAAGAGCTTTAATCCGCTGTGCTATCTGGCTGGCCCAGTATCTCATTCTTTAAAAAAAAAAAAAAATTAAACAAAAACTGTTCTAATTATGAAGTAACACATGCATATGTTAAAACAACAGAGTATAAGAGGCTGAGTACCCACCTATCCCACCTCGCCTCACCCGGTGGTTCTTCCTAGAGAAAACCACTTGTTAAACTGTTTCTTTTTCCTCTTCTTTTTTCTTGGTGGTTGTCTTCTCGTGTCTAAGTCGAGTTCTTTGGAACACACAGTTCAAATGGCAATTCCTGTGCAGCTGCCTTGCGCAGGGAGGACAGAAGCAACCGCAGCCCTGAGGGCGGTGGGGAGGGGGAGAGAGATGGCGAACTGCATCGTAGGTAGCAGCAGAGGCCTCAGCCCACACTGTGGGAGCTCGCAGGCAGGCAGAGCCCCTCACCCTCTTTCTGAAATGAAGTGAGGGCTACAGAATCCCTTGTTAGATGGCAGAAGTAGCTGCCTCACCCAAGCGAGGCAGCTGCTTCTTTCTGTCTGCAAGGAGGCTCAGTTGTAGCTTGAGGGACAGCCATGCCAGCAGTCGCCTGAGGGAGCAGTCCCCGGGGGGCACCCTTGGAGAAGCTCATAAAGGAAAGTTAGTGGGACAACTGACAGTCCTGCCACAGGTGTTCTGGTGGCTCCATTGGACTGTCATCACCCCTGTCCTTTGGATCAGTCCCAGCCCTAGCTGGGTGCTTCATAGCTGGAGGAGTGTGAGTCCCTGGTCCTTACAGCCTTCTCAGGCTGCTGCTGCTGCGCCTGCCCACCTCCCATCATCATTGCCCCGTGAGGACCAGAGGTGTCCAGGAAGCCCTCGGGTTCTGCCTGCATGCTCCCGGCTCACCACCACCCATTTCTTTCTGACGAGGAGAGATGCTCTCTGTTGGACAGCAAATCGTTGTCTGCCTTCTGGCCTTTTGGCAAGGGTGTAGCTGTGTATCGTGGTTCAAGCATTCTGACGTTGGAAACCAGGCCTCAAGGAACACAGAGCCTGGAGTTACAGGACAGGAAGCAGAAATGTCCCACGGGGGTCACTGGGGGTAATGGCGATCACTGATGCTCCTACTTCCAACCATTACTTCCTGGGCACTTCTTGGGAACAGAGTTTGTGTTACAGTTCCAGGTTTAATGTATACAACACCCCTAAGGACAGTACCCATCCTAGTAGGCTGGCATTTCTTTCTTTTTTTATGGTTAATCCTCATTTATTTTTCACCCTCAGAAAGGCCTCTCCCTCAATTCTGTTTCTGTCCTGCAGGAATCTTTCTCTGGCAGGCCTGTGGGTCAGTGTCTCCGAGCAGTGCTTGAGCAGACGGGGGCAGAGACGGCATCACCTTCCTGCCAGCATCCTCACTGCCTCTCCTTTAAAACAGAGGCCATGCCAGTCCTCTCTCGGGCTTCTGAGGCCTTGTACAAGTCCATGGCCCTCTTGTTCTGCTCTAGAGCTGCCAGGCAGAACTGGGAGCAACCCTGATCCAGGGCCACCTCAGCCACCTTTTTGATTATTTGGAGCAGATCCCTTGACCCCGATACTCTGGGATCACGTAGATGTCTCCCCGATAGCTGCTGTGCCCTACCCAAGTGCAGTAGATGAGGCAGTACAGTCCGCAGCCCACAGTGCAGGGCCCCTGTTGCTCGCCAGGTGCTGGAAGAACCTTTGCTACAAAACAGTGATAGAAAGGATCGTCTCCAAAGCCATCTGCTCTCGGGCCTCATTTCTCTGCAGTCCCCAGCAGGACCTGGCTCCGAGCACCCCACCTTCCTCACTGCTCTTCTCCTGATCTGAGAGTTCCTTGATGACGCTATTGGAATCCCCGCCGCGTGGACCGCAGACAATGACTGCCTTAGGCTGTCATTTCTAAGTTGACACCTTATCTATGTCTTCAGTTGGATGTCCCACTGGTCCACCACACTGGCAGCTTGAGGATGGTGTGGTACACCACAGGACCAGTGTATTCCATGGTCATGTGTCCACTGGCATGCCTTTCTGGTAAAGTGGCCTCCTGACTCATTATGCACGCGCCATCCAAGGCTGGTGGATGAGGCAGTGAGTGAGTGCTTGGGTAGTCCTTTGCAGGCTGGGCTTGGAGAGAGCCCGGGGGATTCCACTCCAGGATGGCACCTCCCACTGTCACCACAGATGGTACACTTCATAAGGACTCCCTGAGGGCCACACATGTGTCCTTCCCTAGACTTCTCTGTTTTACTGTTACAAATCATTCACCGCTGTCCATGAATCTCCACATATCCTAACATTACGCCACTTTTCTTTCCACATAAAGTGGATGTCTAGGTGTAGTGCCACATGCTTTGCCCTCTGGGAAGATTCCCGTTGGTGGGGTTCTCAAGGCTGCCTCTAGGTAGGGCTGCAGGGCTGTGGCATTCTAGTTTGGGCTTATGTTCATGTGCTGAGCTGACATCTGCCCAAGCTCAGGCTTTACTCTCCTGTTAGCTCTCCTAGAGGACAGCCCACCATCAGCCGCAGCTTTAGCTGAGCATGAAGCAGCACGAATGAAGTAGGCATCTGGGAAATGCGCCGTGGCAGCTGCAGCTTGTATCCTTGTATTCTCACCTGACACAGATTGTCCTCACCACGTTGTACGGTGGGTTCTTGCTGCACCAGGCACCTTACGACTGGATAGGTCTGACAGTGCTGCATTTGTAATGGGCAGTTCTGGCTTAATGGCTAATTGATGTCCTAGAGTCAGTCACTTTTCTTCTACCAGTTTATCTACTCTAGTAGGTTCTTGTGGCAAAGGACGGTAAGTATCATTGCTGTATTTTAAATACATATATCATGCTACTTTAAATAACCCCATTTTTTTTTTGTGGAAGAACTGGGGATTGAACTCAGGCCCCTGTGCTTGCCAGGTAAGCACTTATTCTACTGAGCCATCTCCTAGGCCCCGAGAACCCCATTTTTGGTTTATTGAGACAGCATCTTGCTATGTAGTTCAGGTTGGCCTTGTATTCGTATGTAGCTCAGGCTACCTATT